GAAATTTGTAGAAAGAAAAGCAAAACTTATAGATGCGTCAAAACGTACTTAAAATTCAGATAGTAGAAGTTCTCACCTTTACTATTAATATTAAATTGAACGCGTAACGCACTCCAGAATTTTTCATAGTATCAAATAAAAAAAAAAAGAAAAGGAAATTACAAATGCAATTTGTTTTAATTTTGATCAGATTGCTCTTTAGGACGTTCAATATCCAAAAGTCGGGCATCCTTCTCAATAATCAAATTTCTTAGCCATTTTATTTCCTTTTCCAATTCACGTACTTTGTTTTCGAGCATCTCAGCTTTTGCAGTCATGTCTTTAGAAGTTTTTTCGAGAGCTTGTTCACGTATTTTCTTTTTTATACGGAATCTTGCAGAAGCAGCGGTATTCCGGCGTCTCCTATTTTCTTCAGCTATAAGCCGATACGCGTCATTGTAATCTATCATTTGATGATACGGATGATAATAATCGTGACCATTCATCATCATTGGAGGTGTCACCATTCCACTTTGTTGTATATTCGTAAGGCAAGCAGCTGATTGATCAAGAAGTGTTGGTGAGCTTTGAGTTAAAGGATCGGCAACGCTTTCAGAAAATTGTGCATCATTTCTTCTTATATCATGTGATGCTTTTTGAGGAGACGGATACCCCGAAGGAAAATTAGTCGGACTTGTAGGTGAAGGTGGAAATGATATAGTAGAATTTGACATTGGTGAAAATTGTCCGAAAAATGGGTCAATGCTGTCGGTAGTTGGTATTGGAAGTAGTGGCTGTGGTTGGGACATACTTTGTTGAAATACTTGTTGAATTGAGACTGGTTCGGGTATTTGTTGGCCGACAGCATTGTCCGGCATTGCTATGCTTGTAGGGAACTCTAATGGAAAATGAACGTTTGACAAAATCTCCGATTCATTCGAAATTTCAGGATGAGTCATTTCACGTGATTTATCGTTAGGGTATATTAAATTTTGTTGTGGAGTAAAAGAGGGGTTGTAGTTTGTTAAAAACATTATCTATCGCTTTTTCGCCTTTTAGGAAAATACTTATGTTTCGGGCACAAATAGTTTTTCAATTCACAACCAAGGTGCTCAAAGGAAATTGGGTAGATCCGCTTTTATCTGCATTATCCAAGATTGGCAAAGTTGATGATTGGACAAACAACTCAATTTGGATTTAGGTCGTCACTTGGGACGTGAAGTGTTTTATTGCTGATTGACGTAAGAAACATCAAGAACATTGCAATTGAACCTTTTTTAATTTATTTTAATTGACATGTGTAATTCATCACTTAATGAAAATTACGGAGATTTAAAGGATGAAAAATAAAAGTGCTTGTCATGAAAATCTAACCTTTTCTCATTTTATTGTAATAAATTACATTTTTGATAGACTAGAACAATTTACGGTTTATAGATTAGTACGATTTGCGAATAAGCCTATTACAAACTGTCTAATATGTACGTACGTACCTGCAAAGTTTAAAAAGCTACACGATTCTTATCCAATCTTATTTTATGAAAAAAATTCCAACATCTGGTCAGGAAATTGTAAAATCGATGGCTTGCAGAACATTCACGTGCTCAAACTATTAGTGGTAAAATATTAGAAAAACTATAAAATCATTGCGTCATTTGAAGGTTTTCGTACGTACGTACGTACGTACGCGAGTCAAATTATATGTTTACATAAATGCATGCACTAGATGGCATCATTTATGTTATGCAGTTGCTAGTTAATGTAAATTTCTATATATGACTCTAATCACCTTGTAAATGTGGTGGAACCTCGTACGTATGTTATATTTCCCTTAGAAAATTCGCTCATCCGGTATCTTGCGTCATTCAACTAGTTCTCTCGCGTCATTGCAGTGTACATTCCTAATGAATTCCTAAGTTTTGCAAATCACTGTCTCGTACTTTTTTTGCAGATATGTCGTGATTCTTTAAAGAAATTTCTTTTCTATTTCTTCCGCAATAAAATACAAACGCTAAACTTTTTTCTGTCTTTTATCATAAAATCCAATATATATTTTCTTTGCAAGATATGTACTGTT